ATCCATCAAAATATCCATCTGTTATGGACACAATGTTATACCTTGAAGCGGGAATGTAGATGTTAACCCCGATTGAGTTTACTGATCAAACCCAAGTTAGACAGCTCTAATGCTTTTGAAGCGCAGCCAATGAGTCTGCCATACGTTTACAGTACAGTCTTGGAGCACTCCATGCAATCTTAATATTACAGTAGAGTGCTTGTGCTTTTCTGGAAGAGGGAGTGAGCGGGGTCGGTCATCGATTTGAAAGCGAAGCATTCTGAAGTGCTTCACCGCAGACGTTCAGCCAAAGTAATTGCCGTGAGTGAGCTAGCAGAACTGGCCACGGACAAATAGGTCACTTAATAGGTTGTTTACCACGCACTTGGACATGATTCATGGAAAGAAAGCAGCAGAGGTCCTGGGGATCAGGCCGCTGAGGGAATTCTGCAATGGCGCTAGGATTATGATGGACAACGCATTTGTAACTGTGGGCTTGCTGCCACTTTTGACAAAGCCAGCACAACCCCTACAGAAAAGACCAGTGAAAAATCACCAGCATACGTTGCGTCCACTGGTATAGATCACTCCCTGAATGGCTGCTTAACTGTAAGGCTGCAGAATACAAAGGAGATGTCTCTGTAACTAGTTTTAAGTGGGAAAACGTTTATTGGTCAATATTGGTATCCCTTCAAAAGTGTTTGTGTTAGTTGAAGATGAGAAAAATATGTGAATGATCTTGCGTGTATTTTGGCCTTTTTCAGAACAGAAAGTTCTGTGTTTTTAACAATATTGCAAGTTCACTAAAACTTGGCTGGAAATATTAGATAGATTTAAAAAAAAAACTTTAGAATTATATTTTTAACATGAATATTTAATAAAAATTACATCTTGTAATTTACTTATTGCAATAAACAGTAGTTTATAGACTTATTTACTTTTAGTTAAGAAGTAATAGATATATAGGTTTGCATTTTAACTTCTTATGCATCAAATATGCTCTAAAAAACTTCTCACTGTAAAAAATGCAGGGTTCCACACAATTCATTCATGTTGTCTCAACATAAATCGATTAAGTTAACTTAACACTTTTAACAAATTTTGTTGATTTAACATAAAAAGATTAAGTTGTCCCAATGAAATCTCAAGAATTGTGTTGTTTCAACTCATTTTAAATAAGTAGTTTGAACAAGCAACAACAACAACAAAAAATTCTAGTATTGTTTTTAGTGAGACATGTTGTTTAAAATTGCATTGTTAGTTGTTTTTCTTACCATTTTTCATCTTTTTGGATGGGTTTAACACAGACAACATATACAATTATTTTAATTACTTTCAGCAGTGTTTTATGAAAATTCAAAGGGCTTTCTTTAAAATGACAACAAACTTTTGCATTTAAACCTTTGCATGTGAATTTGGAAAGCTTTTGAATTTGGATAGGCAAATGCTGGAGGAAAGACCAAAATAGTACTTGTCTTTAAGTGGTTAAAAGCATTAACTCATGTTAACTGTGCACAGTGTTTCTGCAGGTATCACAGAATTAAATTTAAGACTTTTTAAGACATCTCTAAGACCATTATGAATGAAATTTTAGGCAAATAAAGGGTTAGGGCTAAGGATTTTTTTTTTTTTAAATGACACAGATGGAAAAGATTTTGATTTGTCCTATCAAAAAAAATGTATTATAATTTAGTATATTTAATAATACAACAATACATTAATAATAAAAATACAAATATTTTAGATTTTGCTTTTTAGCTGAATATTTTAAATATTCTGTAAAAACAAGCAAAATCTACTTGAATCCATACACTTTTTCCAGCATAAACCTTTTTTTTTAAATAATGTAAATAATGAACAAATGTTTTAAAAGTTCTAAAAACTAAAAAAAAACCTAATAAATAAATAAAAAAAAAAACTTAAATCTATGCAAAACAAACTGTCCAAGACGGTGTTATCAGCAGTGAATACATGGAGAACTTTTAAACAAATATGACTGTTGGGAAAATAATTAAACCATGATAAATAGAGTTAAAACTACCTTTTTAAATAAAAAGTTAAAAGTTTTATTGAGATTGGTTGTTGGTGATTGTATGGGTCTTGGCCAGATTTGAAAGCCATACATGAACCAAGAAAAATTAAAACCTGTTTAAAAAAAGATTTAAGACCAACAACACAATATTTCAGTAAATTTAAGACTTTTTAAGGCCTAAATTTTGGATTTAGAAATTTAAGAAATTGTAAAACCCTGCAGGAACCCTGCTGTGCATTAACAACTGCAATAACAAACACAGCCTCTTTTGATTTAAAAAATGCATTAGTGTTGAACAATGATTAATAAATAATAATTCATACTTAATGTTAGTAAATACATGAAATAATGGATCATTACTCTAAAGTGTTACTAAGGAGTGTTTCAAAAATGTTAAAAACAACATTTTAATTTGGAAATGCTGGTGTTGCATTTCTATAAACGCCAGACTGTTGAAAACAGTGGAGTGGCTTGTCGATGCTGCTCTGACTGACGTTCTGGACTATATGTTATATCGTTTCCTGATTGGTCAAACCCCTCTTAAATGATCATTTCACAAGCATTAGACTGCAAGGATGCCTGCAGAATTGCGTGAATGGTCACAAACCATGCATTTTAGACTGTATAACATGCACAGAGACACTTTTCTGGAGATCCAATAAAAACACAGGGAGCATTTTTCCTCAAAAAAAAAAAAAACACAGTATTAATACATCTACTGAAAATGGCAGACTGCATTTATGCATTGATTTCTTGGATTCTCTTGGTGTTTTTAGTGTTCTTCTCTACTATTTAAGAAGAAATCTAAGATCTGCCTTGATGCACAGAGGAAATATAAACAGGAAGCAATGCCTCACATCAAACATTGATTGTTGATTAATATGCATGCCGACTGGTACAGTAGCTCAATGTTTACACCTAAAGGCTTAGCAAAGATATCAAAGGGAAAATAGATATTGTAGTGGTAATAAGATCACTGAAATAACCAGCATCAGAGGAGGATGCATTGTTGGCGTGTAACAAAAAAACCCACTGACAGTTAACAATTGTCACTGTGGTAAAAAGTCAGAGATGAAGAGAACGGTTGATCGTTGTGATGTGCTTTGAGGAAACAGTCGGCGTGCGTTCACCGAGGGCATGATGGCCCAATTATTAGTCTGTTGACATCCCTCTCCGAAACAGCCAAGAATCCTCTCCTGATGCTTTCATGTGGACTGTGAACCCCGAGCGAGGGCAGAGAGCTTCATGACAACAGCGAAAGCGAGGCTGAAGTCGGCATCGCCATGGAAACAGTGAAACCATTGAAATGTTGCCGTCTCTCTGCCTCTTCGCAGAAATACTCTCCGTGCAATCACTCCACGAGGAAAGCGTTTATGCTAACAATTTGATGACTGTTTTTACTTCTTCATTTTATCAGGCAATTTGTGCACTGCACTATGGTTTGCTCTGGCTTTAGTTAGAGAGCTGAAATGCTGTTTTCAAGGATTTAGAGAAGGGTGCATATTGAAAATGTTTTCATTTATTCCAGAAAATAAGCTGATTTAAAAATAAAAATAATATTAATAATTTAGGAAATGTGGAATGAATAAAGGAAAGCGTTTATGCTAACAATTTGATGACTGATTTTACTTCTTCATTTTATCAGGCAATTTGTGCTCAGCACTATAGTTTGGCGGGGCTTTAGTTAGAGAGCCGAAATGCTGTTCCAAAGGATTTAGAGAAAGGTGCATTTTAAAAATATTCTCATTTATACCAGAAAATAAGCTGGTTTAATAATAATAATAATAATAATAATAATAATAATAATAATAATAATAATAATAATAATAATAATAATAATAATAATAAATGTAAAATGATAATAATAATAATATTTTTTAAATTATAGAAAATGTAAAATAATAATAATAATAATAATAATAATAATATTTTTTAAAATTATAATAAATGTAAAATAATAATAATAATAATAAATCTATAATAATAATAATAATAATCTATAAAATAATAATAATAACAATAACAATAACAACAACAACAATAATAATAATAATAATAATAATAATAATAATAATAATAATAATAATTTAGGACATGTGAAATGAATAAAGGAAAGTGTTTATGCTAACTTAGTTTAGGGTGCACATTGAAAATATTTTAATTTGTAGCAAAAAATACAAAAATAGTACAAATAAAAATATTTGGGAAATTAAATAAAGGTAAAATTGGTAAAATTAATAAAGGTTTGATTTCCCAACACTGCAAAAAAAAAATCTTTTATTTTCTTTACTAGTCTAGAAAACGCTTCTTGACTTGAGAATTTTTAGATATTTGGACTAGAAACAAGACTAAAAAAAATGTTCAAAGCATTTTTTTGCACTGTGCTTTCACTTTAGTTTCTATCTGGATCATTTTCAATCATTATTATGAGGATTTGCACAAACTCATGCACCAATTGAGTGTCATCAAACTACATACTACAATTTAATTCCATTCATTTTCCTTCAGTTTAGTGCCTTATATATCAGGGAACACCACAGCAGATTGAACAGCCCACTATTTCGGCATATGTTTTAAGTAGCGGATGTCCTTTCAGCCGCAACCCAGAACTGGGAAACACCCATACATTCTCACACATGCACTCATACACTATGGCCAATTTAGTTCATCCAATTCAACTATAGCACATATCTTTTAGACTGTCGGAGCACACGGAGAAAATCCACAATAACACAGGGAGAACATGCAAACTCCACACAGAGACGCCAACTAACCCAGACGAGACTTGAACCAGCAACCTTCTTGCTGTGAGGCGACATCGCTAACCACCAAGAAACCGTGCCGCTTATTTAAATTTTATTTATTATATTTAAATTGGCATACTAAACACATCATTTGTTTTTCGAAGCAATGAGTTAAATCCTTACAATGACATTTAAGATACAATTTGGACCCTATTTAGAGGTTTCCAACAATATAATCTCCATACCTTAATGCAGGAGTTTTCAAAATGCATCCCAGGACCTTCAAGGTGCTCAGAGCTCTGTGGAAAAGTTCATAAACAGTGTTAAAATGCAACCTAAAATGTGTAATAATAACAACAGTTACTTTATAATACAATAACAAAATTACAAACATCCACACTAACACAGGGAGAACATGCAAACTCCACACAGAGACGCCAACTAACCCAGACGAGACTTGAACCAGCAACCTTCTTGCTGTGAGGCGACATCGCTAACCACCAAGAAACCGTGCCGCTTATTTAAATTTTATATATTATATTTAAATTGGCATACTGAACACATCATTTGTTTTTCGAAGCAATGAGTTAAACTATTACAATGACATTTAAGATACAATTTGGACCCTATTTAGAGGTTTCCAACAAGATAATCTCCATACCTTAATGGAGGAGTTTTCAAAATGCATCCCAGGACCTTCAAGGTGCTCAAAGCTCTGTGGAAAAGTTCATAAACAGTGTTAAAATGCAACCTAAAATGTATATAAATAACAAGAGTTACTTTATAATACAATAACACAATTACAAACATTAAAAAAGTAAATAGTTTAATTTAAAAATGATGAAATGTATAGACACTAATATGTTTAATAAATCCTAATATATAGTTCCCATATTGCAAATAGGGCCCAAACTTACATAGCCGTCATGACACATTTTGCAAATGCACATGCAAATTCCTTTCCATATGTCTGATTAAAAACACACTCCTTGATTTGCATGACAGAAAATTGCATTTTATTCCGTCCCACTCACCAACAAATAACACTCATCAAGGAGAAAACAAACATGCGCTGCTAGAAATATGGTATTCAGACGTAATCTGGATAATCTCCATGTAAAGCCATTCTGACAGATAGATTAAGTTTCCAAATAAGGAGAAAGCAATGGCTTTTGTCCAACAAAATGCAGATAAAATGGTGCGTGGACCATTTTTGACGTTGAAGGGATGTTTATAAGGAACATTTCATGCATTTTGCTTGCTCGTTTACATGACAATAACATTTTGGGGGGCCTAAAAATGCGGATGGGTTTGAAAATGCATTGATTTTAACGATACAATATTTAACTGTAATATGAAGTGTATTTTACTGTAGCACAGTTATGCGGTATGTTACTGTACTTTAAAGTTGGAAAAGTACTGTTTATTTTAGAGTAAAGATACAATACTGTACATACATGCTGCAAGATAAATAGTGCTGTAAATGTAAACAGTATTTCTACTGTAATTGATTTACAGTAAGTTACTGGTACCAGCAAGTTACTGTAGATTCTACAGGAATTGTTCATGTCTAAACACTAAAATAAATAGATTTTGTGCAAATGTGCAAGAGTGATACTAGTTCTGCAAATAAATATTTGTTGTCCATGAAGCTTTTCAGTGCTTAATGTTAACGTTAATACATTTTTTATACTGCAAATGTATTATGCCACATACAAAACTGCTAACTAATATTAACAGAGCAGGATAAATGCATATGTGCATATTTATACTTAAGGAAAAATAAAGATGTGAGCCATTTTGCTTGAGTGGCCACTTGTGCTAGCCTTTGAGAAGCAAAAGGTCCCTCTGCAACCACCCAAGCACTGGCCCGTGAAATGGTTTTGGATTTTGGTTTTCTCAGACGTAGGCCCGCATTCGAGAGGTGAATTCAGAAGCGGTGGAAGAAAAAGGAGCACAATCGCTTCTGTGTAATTTATCTTGGTATAAGAAAGAAAAAAAAAACAGCAGACAGAACACAAACAAAACAAGAAAATAAAGTGGTTTGGTCTCAAAACCATTGATCATAAAATCCATTAAGATTTGACAGCGCAGCAGATTGGAACTAGGGCAGTGAGCTTCCTTCACCTAGAGATGAAGCAATATGGAAAAAAGAAATGAAAGCCGCAGGTAAAATTGGATTAAAAGGCAATCAAACAACACCCAGAATTATTGATTATTGGCCGACGACTCTCTAATTTTGAATGCAAACGTTCACACATTCACCATGAAGGTGGTAACACATTCCCCATGTTGCAGGTAATTACGACAACATATAGTCAGTTAAAAAGTTACCAGTTACTGTAATTACATTAGTTTTCCAATGAAAAGGTAAAGTACAAGATTACTTTTCATTTTTAGGTAATTTACATAGTTATCTATAAATTTGTTATAAAATACATATATTTGCATAATTAAAATAATAGCATGCACAAGAGAAGCAACAAATTAAGTAAGAAATTAGTTCCAGAAAAATAATATAGAAATTGAAAGTTATTACAAATATTACAAATAAAGTTAAAAACATATATATATATATATATATATATATATATATATATATATACTGTATAAATTCAGCAGAAAATTCTGATTTTGTGCATAGTAAACCATTTTTAAATAAAAACATATATATTATAGATAATTATATAAACAAATATTTGGAAATGTTGTCTAATAAACAATTTAAAAAAACAGATGTATTATAAATGTTAATATAAACGTATATATTCAAATAATTTGCATAATAAACCATTTTTAAAATATATAAACAGATTTTATAAATAATAGTATGAACAGATATTCAGATTTGTTGCAAAATAAACCATTTATACAGATATATACAAACATTTATACAGATAACAGATATATTATGTAAAAAAAAAAAAAAAAAAAAAATATATATATATATATATATATATATATATATATATATATATATATATATATATATTTATTTATTTATTTTTTATTTTTTTTTTTAAAGTAATGATAATATAACCAGATATTCAGATATTGTGAGCATCATCAACAATTTTAAAAATAAAAACAGATATTTTGTATATAAAAATATAACCAGATATTCAGATATTGAGCATAGGAAAAAATTAAATTAAAATAAAAACATATTCAGATATTTTAATAATAAACACATTTTTAACATAAAAAAACAATTGCTTATAATAAATAAGTACAAAATGTTTGTCTATATATGGTGTGCATGTACAACATGTGTTGTGATGTTTTGTTTTACAAATATAATGTTTAACATTAAGTGTGTTTTTTTTAATAATAAAAATGATCCAGTTTGACTCATATTTATAAAACTGATTGTGTTATAGAATAATAAATTTTTGTCTGCATTGAGATTTATTGAGATTATAAATCAGTCAAGTAATCAAATTACTTATTGAGAACTTTAATTACTTTTCAGACAAGGTAATTAGAAAAGTCATTTAAATTATATAATTAGCAACTCACCCAACACTTTGCATGATGCTTTTTTTGGGAGGAGCTTACCTAGAGGTCATTTCTTCCAGCATTGTCCAGTCGTGAGTCATGAGATCAGTCAGCCTTCGTCTTCGGCCAGCGTCAGAGCTCTGTTAAGTATTTAACATCCAGAACATTAGCACAAAAGCCACAGGACAATCCATTCATCATGTCTCCTCAAAGGAATTCATTATGAATGTACCAAAGACCCTGTACAAAGACTCCCATCGTTTCCCAAGTCAGTCTTTTTCTCATCTCTATAAGAAACCTATTTAAGTGCACAATTAATCATCAGTGTTTTGTTCTATTCCTGTACAGGTGCTTTGGTCTGTTGTGTTAGAGGATGGCTGTAATTATGTGCTTAAGTTCGGAAAAACTGAAAAGAACTAAAAGATAAGTCGCGAAATCAACCCAACTGAGAATCAAACTAAATGTTGCAACACACAATATATACAGTTGAAGTGAGAATTATTAGCCCCCCTTTGATTTTTCTTTCTTTTGAAATATTTCCCAAATGGTGTTTAACAGAGCACGGAAATTTTCACAGTATGTCTAATAATATTTTTTCTTCTGGAGAAAGTCTTATTTGTTTTATTTTGGCAATAATAAAAGCAGGCATTAATTTTTAAAAAGCCATTTTATGGAAAAAAATATTAGTCCCTTTATACATTTCTTTTGATAGTCTACAGAACAAACAATCATTATAACTTGCCTAATTACCCGTAACCTGCCTAGTTAATCAAATTAACCTAGTTAAGCCTTTAAATGTCGCTTTAAGCTGTATAGAAGTGTCTTGAAAATATCTAGACAAATACTATTCCCTGTCATCATGGCAAAGATAAAATAAATAAGTTAGTATAAATGAGTTATTAAAACTATTATGATTAGAAATGTGTTAAAAAAAAATCTCTCAGTTAAACAGAAATTGGGGGGAAATAAACAAGGGGGCTAATAATTCAGACTTCAGCTGTATGTAACTTTGTCCACAGAAGATTTTCATTGTTTGGGGATTTTTGAATGATTAAATAACCACACTTCAATTTAATTTAGGATTTTAATTAGGCTCCAATCAGAATCTAGAGTACAAATTATCACAAAGTAAAAACTTAAAAGAAAGCACAATAATATTGATAACATAATTTAAGCACGTTATATAAATATAGCATATAACATTTAAGTTCAATCTAAACTTATCATAAAAACAAATGTGTAGTAATCAATACTGACATTTTTGCATACATTTTAGTAACATAATTTTAAGGTAATTAAATAATATTAAAACAATTAAATAATATTAACTAATGCATAAAATATAATAATAATCATTATATTTCTTTTTTATTATACTGTGCAAATCCAATCATTCATTCATTCATTCATTCATTTTCCTTCAACTTAGTTCCTGTATTCATCAGGGGTCGCCACAGCGGAATGAACCACCAACTATTTCAGCATATATTTTACACAGCGGATGCCCTTCCAGCTGCAACCGAGCACTGGGAAACACCCATACAAACTCTCACATGCACACCACACACGTACACTACGGCCAATTTAGTTTATTCTATTGTACCATAGCGCATGTCTTTGGACAGTGGGGGAAAAAGAAGCATCCGGCGTAAACCCAAAGCAGCATTTGAGAGAACATGCAAACTCCACACCGAATTGCCAACTGAACCAGCTAGGACTCGACTTTTTTTCATTCTGTATAATATTTTTTCCCCACTTTAGATGTTGACTACTTAAGAAATATAGAATCAGGGCCGTGCACAGGGGGGTGCTCCTCGTGTAAGGGTCTGTGCACAAGCCTGTAAAGAATGGTGCATGTTATACTGGCTAGTCATAGTCCATGAGATATATTTATATATAACACCACAGAAATAAGGCTCCACTAAAATATATAACACCACTAAAAAGGCTCTATATTTGATACTTTTGTTCAACAATAAATATATATTATGAACTCAAATTTAAAAATTGGTACAGAATTGTCTCATAGGGTAAAGCCCTCACAAATCTCTCATTTAAATGAATATTTTCTATAGGAAGCTTAATACACACAAATTTGTTTATTTCTTAGGGAAAAATATTAAATATATTTTCAATAAATTAAATATATTAAATTAATTATATTAAATTAAATATATATATATATTAATAAATTAAAATATGAATAAAATTTAGTTGACATTATTTAGTTTGTCAAAGGGTCTCTTATTTTTTTCCCTTTAGCTTTATATCATTTACAAGAGTAGTTGATTATAAGCAGACTGTATGCATCAGTCATAACTGAGAAAACAATGTCGCAGCAATGTGAAAACATTTTTAACGAGTGACTCGAAGCAACAGTCCATAACTGAGGATTCATCTGGGAGTCGGTGAATGTGTGTTGGGTTGTAAAAAGGGTGTAAGATCCACTGACATGATTTCTAAGTATGTTGCATAAATCTAGATTGTCGCAAAAAGGTTAAACCACTATTTACCTATTGCTAAGATACAGCGTTGTGATTGTTAAATGTATAATTTTCCTATTTCTAAAGATGTTTGGAGACAAAAATAATAATTTAATAAATATATTCATTTAATAAATCTGCTTTTGTCAGATATATTGCCTATATTCAATGAAAAAAATCATTTTCAAAATAAAGTGTGCTCAATTATGAGCACTGTACATACAAATAATAAATTAAACATACCACAATATGGCAAATACAATCTCACATGGTTGTATAAAAACCATACCACCACTGGTCATGTTTCCAACTCCTACAAAGTCAGCTAAAAAAAGCCAAGCACTGCTATAGTCGCCAGCATCAGTACAAGTTGTGTTTTGGATGCTTCTTATACACCACCCACATGTCTTTATCATCGACTTCTCCATAACCCAACCACCCCACCTGGATTTGAGCGGCCTGGTCATCGATCACGGATCAGCGCGTATCGGGGAAAGAAAAAAAAATGAGAGTGTTTTTCTAGAGGGTCAGGACAGTGGCATTCATCTCCTGCCGAATGTGTCCTGCATCCAAATGAACGCTTTAGCAGAGCGCTTGCATTTTCAAACCAGGTGATAATCTCCGAGCCAGCATGTGGGAGGGAAGGCAAACGGGTCGGCGAGAGGAAGACAAGGTCGTACAAGCACCATGGCAGGCTTACAAGGTCGATACTTTTTAGTTTGGCAGGTGTGCTATAATTAAATTACATAGATCTGCATGGCACGCAGATAGCGAGATGCAGAAAGTGCTAAGCCGAGCCATGACATACGCCAATTAATCTGTGGCATGGGGTAAAAAGGAACATGGTTATATTGAAACACAGCAGATTTGTTGGTTTATAAGCGTTTAGATGACTAGATGGACTCCATAGCTATAGTTTTGGCATTTTTAAATGAGCTTTTTAATGTAGCTACTGTTTCTAAAATTGATTTTAATTTGTGTTTATGGTGTTTCGATTTTAATAAGGATGACTAAGTATGTAATGCATAGTATAATCTGCTGGTTTTGAACATACAGACTAATATTGAAATACAGTTATGCTAACAACAAAAACATTACCCTTATCCCAACCCAAATTGACCCCACAAAAAAAAAGCAGCATGCAAGATGCTCGGGACAGCATACAGAATGGTTATTGGCCCAATCGAGGCCAGTGCTGCCTTGTCACTAAAGTTTAATTTGGCTGTGACTGTTTGTCAATTGCGTGCTTTCATGCCCAGATGTTTGTTACGGAACATGTCATGTTTGCCTGGTGAGAGCGGTTCGTGGCCTATGTGAATCCTGCAATTGTGCTTAAGTCGGCGCCAAATCAATCGGTCTGAAAACGCCAGAATGAGGAGATCTTGGCTCGATTGTTGTGAAACAAAACGATCCAGCGAACCAGGCTACATCACAGTGTATTATGGTTGTGTAATAGCCATATATTCGGCTATATGAAGAGAGAATGATGAGTAGGGCTGGATGTCATTTCTACCGGCAAATGTGTGTTTCATGTCTAATATGAAAGTGTAAGCATGCTGAAATATTGCCGAGTGCTGTTTATCCATTAACCGTAAACAAAAAATCTACCCAAATTATCATCTGATAATATTTTCATATTTTAATCTTATATTTTGTATTATGCCAACTGTTTTGTTCATTTCGACACCTCGAAAGAAAGATCAACATTGCTTCATGATCTGACTGCAGTCCCGGTGTTGTGCCGAGAAATGCACCTTAGCATACTTAGTCTACATAAAAAAATTTAAATAAAAACTCAAAGGTCATAGTTGATTAAAACTTAATATAATTATTATGTTAATGGATTAAGCAGGAACAAGAAGTGAAATGCATTTTAAATCTAGGTTTACAAATAAAAAAATATTCACAGTATTGAAGACTGATGTAATGAGCCGGTTTCTAAAATTATGCATTTTGGTGGGTTTTAAACAAACAAAAGTCAAAAAATTGCAGTAGTTTTCAAATAAATCATTTACTTTAATTATCTAATCAGTATTGAATTTAAATCAAATCATTTTTAAATTGTCAGTTGTATTTAAAGAAAAGTTATGCTTAATAACTAAATGGCAAACTTCTTTTTTTGGTGGGGCCAGAGAAATTTTGGCAGCACAAGTAAAAATCTGAACCACTAGAAAAAATCCTTAGTGTTGAACCCTGTTATGTTAGTAATAAAAGAAGAAAAAAATGAGGGGGAAAGATGGATTTCATCTTTAAAAGTAAGATTAATAAAATAAACCCTAAAATAAATATTTCATTGCATCCAAATGTAAAAAAAGACATTAGGTCCTCCAACCAGGACAGATTTGCAGGGGCACATGAAGACTTCCAATTTAGCAATATTTGCCTTCTGGCTAACAATGAGGCAAAGGTGATAATATTGGTTACATAAACTGTCAGCAAGGGGTAAACTAAAAATTGCAATTATTCGGCAGGGTTTCACAGAAACATTAGGTGCACTTGACAGTGTCAAAAAAAAAAAGAGGAACAGAAAGATTTTTATTACATCAATTTTTACCAAATGTAAGTCTCTGAGCTCCCTCATATGTAAAGTTTTAGCTTAAAATACCACACAAATGATGTTGTATAACTCTTTGAAACTGATCCGTTTAGGCCTTGAT